CACCGGTGCGCCCGAGCGCGGGAACCTCCAAACGTGCCGACCCTGCGCGAGAGGGGAGGGGGCGGAGCCGCACACGCGCCCACCGGGGGCCCCGTGAAACCCTGGGGACCGTCTCGTGTCTCTCACAGGCTCTTTCGTCACTGCTTACGCTCCTCCTTCCTGGACCGTTTTGTCCGCGAGTTAATACAGCGAACGCCCGGCTCCAGCTTCCTACCTATTTTAACGTTTCCGTGGTGCTTTACGAATTGGGTATTTGTTTATTTTATTAGAGAAAAGCGAATCACATTTCTAAAGAGACAAAACCTCCAAAGCACACCAAAGAAAAATGACATCTGTCAATCAAATTCAACCTCAACCTCAACACAGGCGAACGCTGCTTCTCGCAGTGGGAAGAAACGGCCCCGTGTTTAAACACGTTAAACTGAAAATCGGCATCACTGTCCCCTCCAGTGCCCACACACTCCAGAAGCTCAGCCCACCCTCGGGACGGCTCCTGGGTCATCTGTAACATGTCACCCAAACCAAAGGGGGCTGCGCAGACCCTCCGCCAACGCCTGCTGTCCCAGGGGGCTCTCGGAGAGCACCCGCCCAGGCCCCCAGCACCCTCTCCCCATGCCCGCACCGCCCAGCTCCTTGCCCTCCACCCCCTCCCCTGCCTCCATGGACACCAGCACTTTCTTGCCCCGAGCACCATGATCGAGCTCACCAGCCCACTGGCTTCTGCTTCTGCACCCCAGTCCCCTCACCATCCCACTTGCTATTGCTCCTACATCTGCGGACGTGAGCTCTTCACAGGTCATCAGACCCCCTAGTCCGGCCTCCCCGAGGTGCACGCGGGGGAAACGGACCTCGTTTGCTGTGGGGAGCGAGTCTCTCTTGCTGGCTGCCCCTCGGCGCCCAGGCTGGTGCTGCTGCCCACGCCTCTGGCTTTACCATTCCCCCTGCAAACGCTTACTCTTCCTGTGACTCCCGTTAAGAGAGACCACCCAGCCGCTCCCAGGGTTCTGACCCAGTCCTGCCTGGGGTCCTGAGCCTCCTGCAAACCCACACCCACAGCAGACTCCCACACCCGCCTCAGAAAGGCCCCAGCTGCCTGACGCCAAGTCCTTTCCACGGCAGAGGCCAGGATCTTGGGTTTCACCTTCATCTCTAGCCTGGAAAATCCCAGGAGTCTCCGAACTGCTTCCTGCCTGCAGAGTCCGTCACTGGCCAATGCACCTGACCCCGTCCGCCCTGGGCACCGACACCCTCTTTAGTCCTTGTCTTCCACACGACTTTCCTCATTTAGAAAACTCTGGCTCCCGAAAATAAACTTACAAATAACCGGACTGCCCAAAGACATCACAATTCTCATCACTCAATACTCGCTGTGACGCCCTGGCCTCAAAACACACACCTCAGGGTGCCCTCCACGTGGTCACGGTCCGTACCCAGGCCTGATTGAGCGCCCCCACCAACACGCTGGTGTTCAACCGGACCCGCAAGGGACCCAGAGACCCCACCAGCAAGGCCCTCGCTCAGACGTTCTGGTGGGGTTCCCAGGTGGGGCTCCCAGGGAGCACAGGCCCCCTCCACCTCGGCACAGGGGTCCTGAGGACAGAAGCGCCACATCTTTGATGCGAAATCCCTAAGGGCTTCCCGCAGCCTGTGTGACAAGCCCAAGTCCAGTTTCCCCACGTGGACTGCACCGGGGAAGTCGCCTGCTCTACCTCTCCCGAGGGAATGCCTGCGCCCTGCGGGACCACGCACAGCATCACGTCACGCCCTCCGTCAGCCCCGCCTCGGGGCCTCGGTGCCTCGGTGCCTCCACGTACTCCATGTACTCCACGGCTGCTCGCGGCCACATTTCAGGGGCCATGTCTACTTCACATGACCTGTACTCAGCAGAGAGGAAGGCTGAGCGCCACTATTTGACAGGTGATTCCTCATAAACAAAAGAACAGTTCCAAAAAGAATTCGCCAACGTGCACTGTCTCTGGGTGGTGAGGTTAAAGGTAATTTTTTTCTTCATTCTTTTTTTTTACATTTTCCAAATTTTCTAAAGGATCAGAAATCAATACATGACAAATGGTTTTATTTTAAATAAAATCATTTGGGATTCCTGTGGCTGTATGAGTTTTTAACACAGAACACAACACCTGGATGGATGTCAGCCCTATGCTGGCCGGCCAACGCTCGGTCTGCTCCCTGAAGGGCTGGAAGGCAGGGCATGCCGGGTGAGCCCACCGCCACCCGCCAGCAGGATGGCTGACACATGCCCACACAGTATTCCCACGGGGCAAAGGGACCCACAACCACAGGAGCTCCGGCCCCCTCCCCATGGCAGATGTCACTCCCTGTCACATGGGTCCTCTGCTTCCAACATCATGACCAGCAACAGCTCTGAAGACTTAAAGGAAGGCTAAAATAATTTAAAATTTGCTAAAAATAGACTTAATTTTTTAAATGCCTAAAAATCACATGGAAATTTAAGGTCATGGTAGGTGAGAAAATGTCCTTTAAAGTAAAAGATTCGTCATAAATTTTGTTTCTCTTCAAATTCTAATGAGATTTAAAAGATCTCAAAGTTAAGGTCTTTTTACTTACGTAACTGGACAAGTCGTGATTTTCCTGACTCAGAATGGCAGGGCTGGATCAGAGGAGCAAAGGAAACAGCCAGAATCTTTTTGGTTTCCCAAGCAGAAGGGCCAGTACGCGTTATCTTAGTCAACTATCTCAAAGACAAAATGAGAACATTGAAAATGGTTTGGCTCCTGGTATGTTATATTTAAATACAATCATCTGTATATGTAACCTAAAAAGACACAGATACGCTAACTATGAAAAACCTGACAATACGGGCCCCCAATGTGATATGACGTGAAGCACAAATAACTTAATATTCTTGCAAATAAGTTTAGTCTGAATGTATTCAAACTTCCAGACCTAACTTCTGTTTACAAAAAATATGTATGATGGAGACAGAAGTTAAGGGCAGAAGAGAAAACAGTCTCAGAAGGATCAGGGGGACTCTAACCGGACAAGTCTTCTGGGCTCTCCATGAAAGTCCGCGGCGGGGGGGAGGTAAGAGGGGCCGGTACAGAGGTGGGAGTTGTAAGACACAAACCATCACCTGCAACGCTTCGACCTCCACTGAACCCCAAATGTCGCTTCTGGAGGATGGGACTATAAAACAAGCTCCCTACGACAGGCAGGGGCTCGGGACCACAGACCCGACAGCAGCTATGACTGCAGAGTCGCTGCCAGGCCGTCCTGGGCGTGCAGGAGCTTAGGTCACTCGGGCGGTGCACCCTCAAGTGTACTGAAGACACGCGGACTTGGGTATGGGCACGACACTGCTGTGAATCCCAGCGTCGGGAGCATCAGAAAAACCGAGTCGACCGCAGGGCCTCCTGAGCGTTCCGTGTGACTCTGCCAGTCTCCAAATGACCAAACAGGTCATGGTGCTATTTCTGGTCAGCTCTGACATGCTAGGATCACAAGCTCTCTTACCTAAAAATACCTAAGCCAGCAAATCCTCTAAGACTAAGATTCTACGTTATGAACCTTAGACACAGATGAGTATCGAGAAGCTACTCACATTCTTGCATATCAGCAACCACTTTTTTTCAAAAACGTTTTATAAAAGGAAAATTTCTAGTGATAATGAACATCAAATATTTAAATATAATTAATAAGCAATGTGTGAGCCCTTAAACAACCTATGAACCCTATGCCAAGTTCTGAGTGAGCAGATGGGTATCAGAGCCATGTCTGCAACTGTCAGATTAATCGAGCCGTGACACAATCCCAAGCGAAGGTCTCACGTACTTTTGCAATACAACCAAGATTTCTGAAATCGGGTGTATGGCACACTGAAAAGACTATTCAGAGAATGGAGCCCTAGGATGGGACGTCTAGCCCTGTCACCACTTGGCAGAGAGCTCTTCAAAGCAGCAGTGAGAAAGCCAGCAGGATCCGACAACGTGTGCCTCTCCGGTCTAGTAGAAGGACATAAAATCCCCCCAAAATCCTGAACTAGTTCTAGGAATCAGAAAGCCAGTGACAATGCTGACACCAACAGCAAACTGGGTGGCCGGGGACCAGGACTTTCAGCATGAGAGAAAAGGGAACTGACGAGGCTGAAAAGGTCAAAAAAATCCCACTCCCAACTTACATGAGATAAAGGACAGAAAGAAACGCAGCAAACTCTCAGACAAATGGCCTGATTTCTTCAACAAATAAATTGAAAAGAAAAGTATAAAAGAACGAACTTACAGATTAAAAAAAACCCTTGAGATATATCAATCAAATGCAATACATAAATCTTAAAAATAGAGCTTCATTCAAATAAACTACTCGAACAAATTTTGAGACAATCAGGGAAACATGAACACTAGTTGGACATCTGAAGATATTAAAAAGCTCCCAGGGCGCACAGGCCCCCTCCACCTCGGCACAGGGGTCCTGAGGACAGAAGCGCCACATCTTTGATGCGAAATCCCTAAGGGCTTCCCGCAGCCTGTGTGACAAGCCCAAGTCCAGTTTCCCCACGTGGACTGCACCGGGGAAGTCGCCTGCTCTACCTCTCCCGAGGGAATGCCTGCGCCCTGCGGGACCACGCACAGCATCGCGTCACGCCCTCCGTCAGCCCCGCCTCGGGGCCTCGGTGCCTCGGTGCCTCCACGTACTCCATGTACTCCACGGCTGCTCGCGGCCACATTTCAGGGGCCATGTCTACTTCACATGACCTGTACTCAGCAGAGAGGAAGGCTGAGCGCCACTATTTGACAGGTGATTCCTCATAAACAAAAGAACAGTTCCAAAAAGAATTCGCCAACGTGCACTGTCTCTGGGTGGTGAGGTTAAAGGTAATTTTTTTTTTCATTCTTTTTTTTTACATTTTCCAAATTTTCTAAAGGATCAGAAATCAGTACATGACAAATGGTTTTATTTTAAATAAAATCATTTGGGATTCCTGTGGCTGTATGAGTTTTTAACACAGAACACAACACCTGGATGGATGTCGGCCCTATGCTGGCCGGCCAACGCTCGGTCTGCTCCCTGAAGGGCTGGAAGGCAGGGCATGCCGGGTGAGCCCACCGCCACCCGCCAGCAGGATGGCTGACACATGCCCACACAGTATTCCCACGGGGCAAAGGGACCCACAACCACAGGAGCTCCGGCCCCCTCCCCATGGCAGATGTCACTCCCTGTCACATGGGTCCTCTGCTTCCAACATCATGACCAGCAACAGCTCTGAAGACTTAAAGGAAGGCTAAAATAATTTAAAATTTGCTAAAAATAGACTTAATTTTTTAAATGCCTAAAAATCACATGGAAATTTAAGGTCATGGTAGGTGAGAAAATGTCCTTTAAAGTAAAAGATTCGTCATAAATTTTGTTTCTCTTCAAATTCTAATGAGATTTAAAAGATCTCAAAGTTAAGGTCTTTTTACTTACGTAACTGGACAAGTCGTGATTTTCCTGACTCAGAATGGCAGGGCTGGATCAGAGGAGCAAAGGAAACAGCCAGAATCTTTTTGGTTTCCCAAGCAGAAGGGCCAGTACGCGTTATCTTAGTCAACTATCTCAAAGACAAAATGAGAACATTGAAAATGGTTTGGCTCCTGGTATGTTATATTTAAATACAATCATCTGTATATGTAACCTAAAAAGACACAGATACGCTAACTATGAAAAACCTGACAATACGGGCCCCCAATGTGATATGACGTGAAGCACAAATAACTTAATATTCTTGCAAATAAGTTTAGTCTGAATGTATTCAAACTTCCAGACCTAACTTCTGTTTACAAAAAATATGTATGATGGAGACAGAAGTTAAGGGCAGAAGAGAAAACAATCTCAGAAGGATCAGGGGGACTCTAACCGGACACGTCTTCTGGGCTCAAACCACCACCTGCAACGCTTCGACCTCCACTGAACCCCAAATGTCGCTTCTGGAGGATGGGACTATAAAACAAGCTCCCTACGACAGGCAGGGGCTCGGGACCACAGACCCGACAGCAGCTATGACTGCAGAGTCGCTGCCAGGCCGTCCTGGGCGTGCAGGAGCTTAGGTCACTCGGGCGGTGCACCCTCAAGTGTACTGAAGACACGCGGACTTGGGTATGGGCACGACACTGCTGTGAATCCCAGCGTCGGGAGCATCAGAAGAACCGAGTCGACCGCAGGGCCTCCTGAGCGTTCTGTGTGACTGTGCCAGTCTCCAAATGACCAAACAGGTCATGGTGCTATTTCTGGTCAGCTCTGACATGCTAGGATCACAAGCTCTCTTACCTAAAAATACCTAAGCCAGCAAATCCTCTAAGACTAAGATTCTACGTTATGAACCTTAGACACAGATGAGTATCGAGAAGCTACTCACATTCTTGCATATCAGCAACCACTTTTTTTCAAAAACGTTTTATAAAAGGAAAATTTCTAGTGATAATGAACATCAAATATTTAAATATAATTAATAAGCAATGTGTGAGCCCTTAAACAACCTATGAACCCTATGCCAAGTTCTGAGTGAGCAGATGGGTATCAGAGCCATGTCTGCAACTGTCAGATTAATCGAGCCGTGACACAATCCCAAGCGAAGGTCTCACGTACTTTTGCAATACAACCAAGATTTCTGAAATCGGGTGTATGGCACACTGAAAAGACTATTCAGAGAATGGAGCCCTAGGATGGGACGTCTAGCCCTGTCACCACTTGGCAGAGAGCTCTTCAAAGCAGCAGTGAGAAAGCCAGCAGGATCCGACAATGTGTGCCTCTCCGGTCTAGCAGAAGGACATAAAATCCCCCCAAAATCCTGAACTAGTTCTAGGAATCAGAAAGCCAGTGACAATGCTGACACCAACAGCAAACTGGGTGGCCGGGGACCAGGACTTTCAGCATGAGAGAAAAGGGAACTGACGAGGCTGAAAAGGTCAAAAAAATCCCACTCCCAACTTACATGAGATAAAGGACAGAAAGAAACGCAGCAAACTCTCAGACAAATGGCCTGATTTCTTCAACAAATAAATTGAAAAGAAAAGTATAAAAGAACGAACTTACAGATTAAAAAAAACCCTTGAGATATATCAATCAAATGCAATACATAAATCTTAAAAATAGAGCTTCATTCAAATAAACTACTCGAACAAATTTTGAGACAATCAGGGAAACATGAACACTAGTTGGACATCTGAAGATATTAAAAAATCACTATCAATTTTTTAGGTTGATAATGGTTTCGTGATAACGTTTAAAAAAAGAGCCCCTATCTTTTACAGATGCATACTGAAACACTTATGCATAAAAATTCCTTTAATGTGGGACAATCACAGAAGTCTTCAGATAACGGTTAATAAGTGACAAACTACATACAGACTAACGGCCAATTACACGAACCAGATGACAACCTGGTCGACAACTCGGCAGGCTCCTCGCCAGCACGGGGAATGGTGGCGGGGGGTGGGGCACGCGACCTGCAAGTCGTGCACTCTCCAAGGCCATGCGTTCTAAATCGCTCGCACAGTTAGCTTTCTGAAAAAGAACGGCCCAGACACAGGTACGAGGCCCACCCACTCGGCCGTCAGAGTGGCAACTGTGAGCAGTGTTCCTGAATGTCTTCTGGATTTTCTAAAATGAAGTTACTTTTCAAACAAGATTAATGAAATGCTAACATTTGAAAATTGCAGAAAATTGGGAAAAAATGCACCATCTCCTAATTTCTATCATTTGTTTTTCCTAGTGTCCTCTGACTGAGGGACAGTCTTCCTGATGGCCAACGCGTGTCTGATTCATCTGCTCACTTACTACACTGTTTTCCCCACTGAAACAGTTTCAAAAACAGGCAGGAACGTGAACGAGCAAAGCTCCCTACCAAGCAAGGGATTCCCGCAAAATACCACCGCAGGTTTTAACGCTGAGACTAACAAGCGAAATGGAATCACTCTAAGAGTTTTACCTATAACAATTCTAATAAAACAGGCCTCACAGACTAGGGAGGGGGGGAAGGGGGGGAGGGGACCAGGCAGGGCGGGGGCAGCAGAGAGAAGGGAGGGGAAGCTCTGTCTGGGGACCCCACAGGAGCCGGGCCCAGCCCTGCCTTGGCTGTCCCCATGGCCGGTCCCTGCCAGTTTGCTCCTCTGGGACATGGAGGGAGTTGTAACAAGGGCTACAAGGAAAAACACATGCGGACTTCCTGGCACAGACCTTGACGCTCGGGGAAGTGAACACGCCAGTTACGTGGGGCCTGACCTTTTCCTCCAGCGGCATGACGAGGATGCCCCCGACCTTGAGGAGACTCTTCATGTAGTCCTCGTGCTGCTTCTGCACGCCAGCCCCGCAGTACACCCGGTCGTACTGAGAACAGCCCGGAGAGATCTCCAGGCAGTTGCCAGGGACGAAGGAAGGTTCACAGAAGTCAAACCTGGAAGCAGGACAGGTTTTCCGTGACGAAACCTATCCCACTGTATCACGGCTCCACAGCACATCTACGCTAACCGCAAACCCGCGGCGAAGAGACACGGTGGACAGAGACAGAGGCTGGAAGCCAGACTTCCGAGAAGCAGACGACCGATAATGAGGACGTTAGAAACTCAAACAAACGTTGTGGAGGGGATGTCGTAAGCAAGATCCCCACTGGGAGCATCCGACCTCCAACCACCACCATCTCTGCTCCGCTTTTGATCATGTCACTCAAGATCTACCACAGGGAGGTGAAACGAGGGAAAATTACACTTGGTTTTTCTAAAAACGATAATCCCACGAGCTTTAAGGTCTTCTCCAAAAATGGCAAGAGCCGGTTATAAACATTGTCTAAAGACAAATGCAACCATTACGTTTTAGACATAATCCAACGATAAATGTCTCTACCAGAAACACGAAAACTAAGTAAAATGAACATTTTATCTCCTTTTCTTAGCTGTGATACTGGTGAAGAATCACCTTCACCGGGCAGTACAGCTAAGAAACCCAAAGCCCTTCACACCGCAGAACATGTTTGGGTTGTTAGGGTACACACAGGCACACCCCTGAGCCTCCTGCCACCCTCAGTCAGTTCGCCAAGGACCCGACTTCTCTCCATCTCATCGGAGGTTTAGGTTGTACCCGACACCCTGGGCCGGACAGGACCTGGTCTTACTTGTCAAAGCTGCTGCTCGTTCTGATGAAGGAGTCTAGCTTCTGCTTTGCATACTCGACGACATCTGAATGAAGCTCCACCCCGTGGTTCACCCCAAAAGGACCTGAGAGGTTTCAGAACAGGAAACTTTTAGACCTAGAGCAAGGACTCTTACTCCCCGTTTCTATCTATCGACTGTGACGCATCAGACTCGGCACATGTGATCTCAGAGGTCCACAGGGCTGACGGCTAAGGGCACCGCTGGCCCGCGCCAACCTCTGCGTACGCAGCAGCCTCTGCTCAGCGCCTCGCGAACACTCTCTTCTCGGAGCTACTGATTCCACAGCTCTCCGAAGCCTGAGCCTGCCTGCTCTCTCACTTTTAAAGCAATATTTGAAACAGATAAAAAGCCAAGGTCTGAAACCAAGAGTTCGAGGTTCTACTAAAGGATTGAAGAAGAAACACGTACTTTGCAAATGAAACTTGACACAAGACTATTTTCCATTAAAAGTCCCCAAACACTCAGATGTGGGCATTTTAATAATTCTCACAAAATAGATTTTAATCATCATTAAAATAAAACCATAATTCCAAGTCACGATGAAACACATTTCGTTTTTTTTTTTTCGCGAGGCACCCCTTGGTTGACCTCACAGACTGCAAGGATCTTGTCAGCTTAAAATCCTTATTTTTTTATTTTTTTATTTTTTATGCCTATGGTACCTGGTCTTCCTAGGTGGTCTCCCATCCAAGTGAAACACTTTTTATATCAAAGGAAATTTATCCATTATGGAAAATACGGCCTGAGCCCAGTTAGTGATGGTCACATTCCCTCTGTGTAAAACTTCCTGGGGGCAGGTCTGCTGAGATCTGAGGGGCACAAACCCCTCAGTTAAGTCTCCGTGGAGTGAGAACCGTTTCTATGCAGGTCAGAAACAAGCAAGGCTCATCCACACCGATGGAAGGTAGGACACTGCTCACCCTCGGGGGCCTCTTACGGGGAAGGGGGCACGTGCGTGTTCACGTTTGTGATACACCTGAATTTCTGAAAACCAAAAGGGCATGTGGGACCGGACACGCGTCCAGTCACAGGGCAGCAGCGTCCTGCGGGGACATGGGTGAAGGAGCACATCTCCACCTGCCACACACACGGCTGCTGCTGAACGACCTCTCGTCAAACACACCCCACCTGGGAAGTCAAACTTCCCTGTTCACATCGAACCACAGCAAACTTCAGGAGATCCTGCTTTCCTGCTTCACGAGCCACTCACCTTTCCCTGACGCAGTGGGGGAGGTAATTCTAGTAAGAGTTACAGGACGCAGCTTCTGCTCCCAAGAGGCTCAGCACTAAACAGAGTGGTAACATCGTGCCCCCACCCGCCCCCGTGAATAGATGGCTAGCAGGGGAGGAAGGACACGGGGTCAGAGGACACGGCACTGAGGTCGGACCCGCGATGCCCCAGGCAGAGCAGTTCCCACATCACACGGCTCATGCGTCATGTCTGAGGCAGGTGTTCTGTCCTCTCCTCACTGCTCAGGACCACGGGAAAGGACAGCCCTCAGCCAAGGACAGGATCCCACAGAACAAGCCCGGGAACATGGCGGGAAAGGCATGAAGTTCAGGGCCAGGCAGAAAGGCTGCTGAGGTCAGAGAGTCGGGGCCTGTGTCACATGTGCAGGTGCTAGGAGGCCAACGAGGCTCTCACCTCTGGAGGGATTTGCGAGAGTGTTAAGGCTTCAGAAAGCCAGGAGGCCGGCCAGGGACACGTGGCACCTGGACACACGCAGGCTTCTCCCTGCAGGTCCACAACATCTGTCCACGAAGGCAAAGTCTCCCGTTAGCGCCGTGAAATGCGCCATGGCAGGACACGGTGTCCATTACAGCCAAAGACCCAGCTGTCCTCCCTGCGGATCGCCTGACACCTAACGGAACTCCCAGTCCAGTCGACCGGTCCCTGAACCAGGCAGGCCAGGTCTAGGGGTGCCAACCCTGCAGTCGAAATCTGCATATGAATTTTGACTCCCCCAAAACCTAACTACAGCCACAAATTTTCAGCAAATTCCAAAGTATGTAAATGTATAAAGAAACCAAAAATTTCATTCCACGTCCACAGAGGCCAAGTGTCACTGCTGAGATTCTCTAGAGCAGCCTGACCATGGCCCTGTGACATCGTCCCCACGCACAGGCTCACGCTGACTTGATGACAACATTACGATACTTAAGGCAAAACCTTTGTATTTAGCAAATCCTGTCAGTTCCAACCTCAAAACGCACAGATGCCCAGCACCGATGGACCGGCCACCACTCCATAGGGCAGGGACCAGTCCCTGCCATCACTCTGGCAAGACCAGTTCTCACTCAGAGTGGAAAGAGATGCCAACAAGGGAGAGCTCGGAGGTGCCCTCCAGCACGCCTCAGCAGGCCGATCAGGAGTCAAACTGCTCAGCAAGCTGAAGGCGAGGCCTCCAGCCGGCCCACGAGGCCCCGCACGTCTCGCTTTGTTTGCTCACCGAGGCCTTCACCCTCCCTCTCATCTACAGCACCCTAAATTCTTTCAAAACAACAAGCTTCTTTCCAGGTTCACTAGAATCAAAGGGCCCAGGGCCCGGTCCTCTTTCTGGCTGGCAGATGGCGCAATAAACGACCCCTTTTTTTTTTGCCAGAAAAGCTCCTGGCCATGAAAGTTATTAACACACATTTCCCCCACTAACACATTTCACACAAGGTGGGAATTAAATTAATCCTCAGTTATCTGATACTGTTGTTTAAATACTAAAAATAACAGATTCCCACGTATAGTCGCAAATCTTGTTTGTTTGGAAAAATAGGCTAAATGGCTTCAAATATGATAACTTGTGAAATCCCTTTCATCCCTGGAATTAATCTAAAAATAAACAATTTACAGGTACTATCTCTTTTAGTATTAAAAAAAAAAGAAACTGTTTGAGAGAACTTTAATTCCCAGGAAACTTTAACGCTGAGTGTCCTTAGTTCAGAGGCAGAGTGACAGGGCGGGCGGTGAGGCCCAGGCCCACACACCTCTCTAGGCCGTCAGCTGCCCCACACCGTGTGCAGAACAGGTGGTGGAGGTACAGGTGGGAGGCGACAGGAACAGGAGGGGCCTTCCCTTAACCGGCCCGTCGGTGACTGGGAACGGCACTGCACAGCTGCTGGGAAGGCCAAGGGCAGTCACCTGGTCTCCACCAGGAAACTGCCAGCAGACTCTGCTCCCCTCCCCCAGGGGCAGTGTCCCCGAAGTCCCCCGTTACCTAGGATGAGCCCCACCATGGAGCTGAGGTAGCCAGTGCCACTGCCCAGGTTCAGGAACGAGAGCCCAGGCTGCAGCTCCAGGGCCTCCATCACCTCGGAGTAGATGCAGGGGGCCGACAGGTGGATGTTCCCATGCTTCCATGCTAAGTCTTTGTAAGCGTTTTCTCTAAACTCTTCAAGATAATAATCGGCACGATCGATGGCTCGGAAAGCTTGCTCCACCAGTTCAGTCCGGATGTACTGTGCTTCCTTCAGGTTATCGATCAGCTCGTCGTTGTCTTCTCCAGCGCTCACAGCACCTCCCATGGTCAAGGTCGACTTCTGACCGACACTGCAATCAACAATCTTTTTAAAGCGCTATTTACAGCAAAGGTTAGAGCAAGACAGTAAAAGCTCTGAACACATACCAATCTCAAAATCTGAATTCTGAAAACTGTCAACGACCACCTACCCCACCCCCAAGGATGCCAGATTCAGAGGGGAAAAAACAGTTAAAGGTGAAATTCAATTATTTCCATCCAGAAGTTAGTTTGTAATTTATAGTATCAAGTGAAGTCAAATGAACTTAAGAAAACTAAAACATATATAACAACTTTAAAACACCATTAAAATATAAATTTGATACTCTCCTAAAAGTTTTCAATCTAGGAAGTCAAGATTTTAGGGTTAAAATGATCTTAAGTATCAATCTGCCTTAACAGATTGATACTTAAAATCGCTTAGAAGACAGCAGACATGTCTAAGAAATCATTTTAAGAGCAACTTCTCTTTGAAGATTTCGAAAAGATATTTTGTAATATCTTTTTTTATAAATCTTTAAAGCAAAAAAAATAACTGAAATTCGGGTAAACAACAAATACTAAGTTATTCATTACTTATTTGAAATTCAGATGTAAGTGGTGTTTTTTGTCTGGCAACTCTACACCCTTCATGCGCATAAATGTCAAGCCCAGGAAGCCGTCCATCTGCTGATCTGGATATTCTGATGTACAGATTTCAAGGAGAAACAACATCCACAAAACTCTCTTACCCAACAGAACATATTGTGACAAACCCATGCCTGTAAAAAATACAAAGTCTGCGCTGGCTACAATTGAGCGGAGCCCTACTCCCCGCTCCCACGCCTCTCTGCAGGAGGGGCCGGGCTCTGCCACCTTCTCAGACATTCACCAGCTTTCCGCTTTCTTCCCAGCCACCTCTGAGAATAAAAAGGGACACGTGTTCCCCTCTGGTACCTTCATGGAATCCAGGGAAAGCGCCCTCAGAGGTCTGACTTCCTACACGCACACAAACGGCTTTTCCAGTTTTATAATGAACTGACTCCACCCAACTTTTTCAGAATACTGGTTTCACTTCACATAAAATCGTAACCTTTTACAAAACATCTCCTAAATTGTTGGGGAGAGTAAACGCCTGACCTCTCGAAGACTAACACATTTTTTGAATCGGGCAACTTGCACGTAACACGCTATAATTTTGTTATCACAAAGTTTATACTTGCTCTCCCCTCAAAACCCTCTGAATGTGTAAGAAAAGGGGAGTCGTAAGGACACACTGGGGCTGCCAGCTCCACACACACACCCCCATTCACACGGCCAGCAACTGTGGTCGGAGAGGATGACCCAGGAAGACACGACCACACGCGTGACTCTCCAGCTCCCTACACAACTGTGTGAACGGTGGGGCTCATCACAAACGCGCTTTCATTTTACGATTAGGCCAGTTTGTCTTCAGGAGCAAGATTTTTAGAGCAGAACATCAGATTTTACAAATCACTCGCTTTCCACCCCATTTAGTCTCAGAGCCCTCGTTAGGTTTTGGTCCATGGCCAGTGCGCACGGCCGGGTAGCACACAATGCTAATGAGGTCAAATCTAATCTTGAATAAGCCACTCGGTTCTGAGGCTCAAGTCCACACCCCTAGTCTAGGACAGTCATCTTCAACTGTGGGTCACTGATTAGCAGTGGAGTGCTGTCTGGCTGCTTCCGGGTCTGCTGAGGGAAAGGCCTGGATCCACACATCCTCCAAGCTGGGTCCGAATGCCACCTTCTGCCCAGAAGCCTACAGACAACGTGCTATCACCACGCCGACACCATCACTCTACCTCTAGAAAGCAAACGCAAACTGTGTATTAGGTGTGCTTTACTTTCCACTAAGTACATATCACTTATTTTCAACTTTGCCTCACTTTGAAGATTTATTCCACAGACAAAGCTAGTATTATAGTAAAAATAGCTGCAACCTTTTCACAGGCACCACCTGCTAGTCATAATCTTTTTTGGGCTACATGTTATAAGGCAAACTGGGTAGTTACGTTGCTCATGATCGCACAGCTGTGTGTGAGGAGAGGGCTGGAATTCAAGTCCAGCACAGCCTGGCTAAAACGAATGCAGCTTTTAAAAATTCTCAGGAAGCAAGCGTCTTCAACACGTCACACCTTAGTAATCTTTGCCCAAACATGACAGACTGAGAAATAATGGGGTAACCCTACCTGATGCCAACGGCAGGATGCATGTGACCATCTGTAGGGTCTGACATTTGTCATTATTATTGGCAGGAAATCTAACTTCCTTCACACTGGAAAGTCACTGCTTATTACTGACCATCAATGTGACCAGTCGCAACTCCACCAAAAAAAACCAACAACAGGTTCAAACCAAATCTGGACCTACGATCCAGTTAAATCCAATTTTTCAAAGTAACAGCAAATGATTTTTGGGACGCTGCCCTTGATTACACTTTGCAACCTAATGTAATTCATGTTCCAGTGACTGGCCGCAGCCCAACAGGACCGCCTCACTCTGAAACGGCTCCTTCCAAAACTCTGTGCCAGGTGCAGCCAGAACAGGCTGAGCGGCAGCAGGCCCAGGAGGCCAGCACTGTACAAAGCCATGACAACAGGGGTCATGATTCCAGTCCCGTGTTTGTCAGACTGCACACAGACGGCCACATTCCAATGTGAATGTCACTTCTTGACGGGAACATGGATAAAGTGATTCACATGGATGAGCTGGGGAAAGGGAACGAAAGCCGCACCTCCTGCCGGAGTAATGATGTACGAAGCTGAGATTCTCATCTCAAAACCATAACTCGTACAGAGACACAGAGGGGTTTTAAGAACTTCGAAGGCTGCTATGTGTACACATCCCCCGTCTCATAAAAGCTGGACCAGTAGGACACACGCTCGATAGAAACAATTTCTACGAAACATAAAGAAAAGCGTTCTAACACCTGGAATTGCAAAATACAAATTATTCTCATAAAGTGGACAGTCTCACCCCCAAGGATGTCCCAGGTCCGAGCAGGTGGGGCCCGGGGGAGGCGCTGACTCCCAGGCGGCCTCTCGCCCAGGGCAAGGCTCATTACCCCAAGCTCTGCCACCAGGTCTCGCTGGTTTATAGGGAGCCGACTTCACCCGTTTTTCAATGATAATCTATCCAAAACCCAGTCAGAATAGTTTACTTCTGCCACTCCTTTGCCAAAAAGACGAAGAAAACGATTACAGGTACACGAATAAAGAGAGAGGAAAAGATTGAGATGACTTTTTCGCATCCCCTACAAGAACGAGAACACAGGCACCGGCCCGGGCCGCTCCCCTTCTCCAGCCACTTCGGGCCTCTTGCCGCGGCCTCGCGTCCCGGCGCTCCGCGCCACGGCCGGGGACAGCTGGGCGCAAAGGTCCAGGCTTTAACTC